CTATGTCTCTCTGCTGGACTGGAGGAGCTGGAGGGGGAGGCTGATGAAGGAGTTGCTGTGTGGAAAAGGAGTCTGGATGGAGGAGGAGTCTGGATGGTGGAGGAGTCTGGATGGAGGAGGAGTCTGGATGGAGGAGGAGTCTGGATGGAGGAGGAGTCTGGATGGTGGAGGAGTCTGGATGGAGGAGGAGTCTGGATGGAGGAGGAGTCTGGATGGAGGAGGAGTCTGGATGGAGGAGGAGTCTGGATGGAGGAGGAGTCTGGATGGAGGAGGAGTCTGGATGGAGGAGGAGTCTGGATGGTGGAGGAGTCTGGATGGAGGAGGAGTCTGGATGGAGGAGGAGTCTGGATGGAGGAGGAGTCTGGATGGAGGAGGAGTCTGGATGGAGGAGGAGTCTGGATGGTGGAGGAGTCTGGATGGTGGAGGAGTCTGGATGGAGGAGGAGTCTGGATGGAGGAGGAGTCTGGATGGAGGAGGAGTCTGGATGGTGGAGGAGTCTGGATGGAGGAGGAGTCTGGATGGTGGAGGAGTCTGGATGGAGGAGGAGTCTGGATGGAGGAGGAGTCTGGATGGAGGAGGAGTCTGGATGGAGGAGGAGTCTGGATGGTGGAGGAGTCTGGATGGAGGAGGAGTCTGGATGGAGGAGGAGTCTGGATGGAGGAGGAGTCTGGATGGAGGAGGAGTCTGGATGGAGGAGGAGTCTGCTTTTCATAGTGAGTTTAGAAGCTGATGGATCAATAAGCTCATTAGCAGAGAAACTAGCATCCTTGGCCAAACATCACTGCAGCTTTTACTGGTAAACCTTCCCAACCACTTTCATTTTTTCTTTCATTTGTTTTCTTTGATCTCGTCTCCCTGGTTACAAGTTTAAGGTATATTTTAGCGGCCTAGTTAAAGACTCCCTGGCTGAAACGTGTCTAATTGTTTCCTGTATTTTAGAAGAGAACAAAGGTTTTAATTCCTTTTAACGACCCCCCTTTCAGAGACATAGACAGGTATGGGGCATTGCAGGCTAACAAAGAAGCCAAACGACCCCCATTCCAAAGGGGGGGACCCGTTCATCCGTTTCTATCTGCATGTTTTCTAAACTAAAACCAGGCTTTGTTGGGCTGCTGGATAAAACCTGGAACTAAACACTATTTCTGACATTTTGAACAAGAGAAAAGTCTTCAAACTTGGAAACAAAGTCCAGTGGATTGATTTTTAACTTTTTTAGAAAGTTCCATATGTTCGGTTTGAGCTCATATCCCTGTGAAGCATTGTTGTGTCGAGCTTCTTTCACAGGAAAATACCTGACAGACCAGAAGTTGTTGGATCTATAATTAAAGACGACGTAAAAACAGCTGATGCTCAGAACTTGAGAGTGTTAAATGGGACCGAGGGGCAACATCCAGGCCTCTCTGGGTGGATCAGGTTTGCTACGTACCACTCCGCAGTAAGGACCAACAGCTGCTGAGGAGCTGTCTGGGCCATCGAATAACTTCAGGAAGTTGTTTTGGCAGTCTCCGGGGTCGTCGATGCTGATCTGGGCGAAGGTGACGGTCACCACTCGGTCTCTGGGCGCCACGATGCTCCATTCACAGTAGGTGTTGTTTGGGTAGCTTCCTGGGTAGTTGGGGCTCGCGAAGGAGCCGTGGTCTCCAAACAGGGTACCACCACACCCTGCACAGAGGAACAGAGATCAGCACTCCTAGCTCCCTGAAATGATGAAGTCATGACCAGATCTGAGGGTTGGGTCTGCATCGCCATAAAGGATTGAGCAGCTGCTCCAGATTCAGTCATTTAGACAAACTGCAGCTAAACTGCAGAAAAATCTCTACAAAAGCACAGTGAAGGGACGGCGCCACCATGACACATCGGCTGCAGTCTGGGGGGTCTGAGGACTCACCGTGGGGAGAAGACGTCCAGGTGGCGTCAAAGCCGTCTCGTGAGGCGGAGAAGTCGCTTTTGAATCGTAAGTACAGCTGGTTGGTTTGAGGGAAGATGGGGCTTGGCAGCGTCTGACCACAGAAGCGACCAATCAGCTGCGAGTCTGCTGTGCTTCCGTTGCGGATCTGAGTAACAGAAGATTGAGATCAAACATCAAAACTAAAGCCTGATTACAGAGAACCTGGAGCTAGAGTCCAGCTCCAGGTTCTAGTCGCTGGTTTAAACCAGATTAACTCATCAGGGGTGAAAATCCTCCAGTGATTGATGATGATACCGTCTCACCCTGGGTGGTCTACATCATCTACCACCAGATCACAGAGCGAGGTGGAACCCATCGCTTCACTCTCTGAGGTGAAGATGGACAGAGGCTCCCAGGTTAGCATAGCTACTAGCGCTGATGGTTTGGTAGATTTCACTGGTAGGCAGAGAAAAAGCAGGAACCCTGCTCCTCCAAGGCCTACTTTATCGCTCTGATAATAGAAGTACCCCTGACCTTTGACCTGTTCTGGTTCCTGCTGAGTCATCTCCTAGCTGTCAGACAGGACTCTGTCTCCTAACCGTACCTCTCCTCATCCTGCTGTCCCTGCTAATGGAGGCTCTAATGTTTCCCTGGTGACCAGAACAGCTTCCTGAAAACCTTAAAGTGAGCGACTTTGTAACTTTGCTCCTAAAGGTTCAGCAGAGTAACATTCCTGGTCTCCAGGGAGAACCTGAGGTTGAGAACCGGCAGCCCAAACAGAGGAAGGCTTTACTGGGGCCGAGCGCGCGGCACGCCTCCAGGTCTGACTGTGTCACTGGAAGGGAGACGTCTACGGATCATCAGCCCAGAGACGTTTACCTCCAAATAGTCAAAATCACAGCTGTTGTGGCTCTCCACATCAAAGTCGTTGAAGAAGAAAGAGATGGAGTTGTTCTGCGGAGCCTTCAGGATGATGATGCAGTCCATGTTGTGGGGGTAGATGTCAGGCCATCCCGGGCTGCTCAGGTAGCCGTATTCCTGCTCATACACTCGACTGCAGTCTGGAAACCAACAACAGCAGCTTAGAGCTTCATCACAAACACTCTTCTTCACAAGCAGAGGATGAAAGCAAAGGAAAGTCAGCTTCATCAACACCTCCAACCAGCCCAGAAGCAGCCGTTTGAGGTCTGGATGGACTGGTTCTGATACCCACTAGCTATCTGGAAGCTGAAGCTGAGTCCGTTTCCTGGCAGGAAGGTATCGGACTTGAAGTACATCAGGACCGTCCTGCTGTAGCTATAGAAGTCCTGGGGACGGCCGTCTGAAGCGCAGAACTTATGGGACTGTCCGTAGTCTCCCTGGAAACACCAAGTGTGGGTTTAGTTCTGCAGAACCATACCCGGACCCTTTTCTATGTGTACTGTAGATGGGAAAAACTCTGCCTCTATGACCATTACATGGTTCCGCTCCAGGAAACAGTCTTTTCACACATTCTTTACTAAACGCATCATCCAGAGTTTCTGTTCTTTGACTCACCAAAGGCCAATCTTTCAGCTCCAGGTAGTTGCTGGAGCAGCTCTGGCTAGCATCCAGGACAAATGTCTGGACAGAGACTTTAATGGTTTCTTGAGGGGGAGCGTCCAGGATCCAGCGACAGGAGGTGAATGAAGGGTAGGCGCCGGGGAAGGATGGCGAGGTCAGGGTTTGTGGTACTACGGTAGCGTTCAGAGTTCCACCACACAGCACTGAGAGACACACAGGGAGACAGGAGGACAGGAAAATAGTGGCTGAGGTCTAGATTAGGAGAGCAGTACCATGACGGCCCAGTTACAGCTGAATGGAGACCCATTCAGTTTGAAGGAACCGTTCAGATCAGCATTTAGAACATTTTTATCTGCACATGTCCAACTGGGACCATAAACCCTGGTGTTCATTTCAGACAATAGAGACCAATGTCCATGAACTGTGGTCATTGGTGGAGGAGGATCCACTTTTGCTGTCGTTAGTCGATGGATTTGGTCTCCTGGCCTATGAAGAACCACTGAAGAGGAACGGAGGACAGAGACGGGAGGTTCTTACGTGGTACTGCCTTGTAGGTGGCGTTGAATCCTTGCTTTTGGACTGAGCTGTCGGACACAAACTGAACTGTCAGAAAGTTTCCACTGGACACGAAGTAGGCAGGGATGGAGTTTCCACAGTAGGTCCCCACCAGAGGGAAGTTCATGTTGTCTCCATCGTAAACCTGGAAGGACAAACGTTATCGGTCACTGGGGTCCAGACTAGGGTTTGCCCAGTCCACTATGACCTCCAGTCTAAGGAAACAGTGAGGTGATGCTGAGGAGTCTTTACTTTGACGTAGTCATAGCGACATGTAGAGGAGCTCTCCAGGTCGAAGGAGCTGAAGGTCAGGTTGATGGCGCTGTTCATCTGCATCTCTATGGTCCACAGACAGTTCATCCTGGGCTCATAGCGTCCATCCAGGTTTGGATCTGGTGAGCCCAACCTGCCCATAGGTGTGGTGAGGAACCCCCCACAACCCTGAGCTGGACCTGCAGACATTAACAGCAGAAAACGCTCTCATTGGCCGCTTCGAACAGCCGCCATGACCACCATTAGCAGGCTAATAGGCGAAGTGGGGTTAGAACCGGCAACCCTCTGGTTTAAGGAAGAACTTCTGATTCTGTTTACTTGATCTGAGGACATGACACTGAACAGTGGACTCACCCAGTGTCTGACTGTAGGTAGCTCTCCATCCAATGCCGCCCACCGTTGCGTCTGTCCTGAAGACCAGGAACAGGTGGTTGGCAGAAGAGCGGAGGTCAGGGGGCAGCACCGTACCACAGAACCTTCCCAGCAAAGGCGCCAAGGTGTCAGGCCCATCGTACACAGCCACATAATCGTAGTGACATGAAGAAGAAGCTTCCAAACTGAAGGTGTTAAACCTATAGAGACAGACAGGAGAGACCAGAGTCAAGGTCTCCCTTCTCCAGTACCAGTCCCTCCATGTAGACCTGAACCCTTACTTTAGATCCACCACTCGGTCTGCCTCGACGCTGATGTGGTAGGTACAGTTCATGTTGTGGTGGTAATTGGTGATGGAGAGGGCTGGACTGCTCACAGAACCGGCACTGCCGTTGAAGAAACCGCCACAGGCTAGAAGCACAGACACACACGGCAATGAGCAGGTTTATAGACGTCATCAGGTGTGAATCTCAGAGGAGGAGAGCTTGATTTAAGCAGCCATGTGAAATAAGTTTGTTTCTGAAGGAAGAACAGGAAGGACTCTGTGTTTATGGAGGACTACACCACCGGACAGGATTCCACGGTCAGCCAAACCTCAGCCATAGACAACTCCCATACTGGGCCCATTGGGGGGGTTACTTTCAACTTCTCAACTGGTCTGGATAAGAGAAACGGGGTGGGGACCCAGAGGCTCTGTTTCCTTTAACAGCCTCCTAATACCTTCCTTCAGCCGGTCTTAAGTTCTGTCAAAGACAGCATTTGGTTGTTGGCTTTACTCACGTATGGCTACGTATTCAGCCAAGAAGCCGCTGTCGTTGATCACAGAGTCCGAGTAGAAGTGGAGCATCATGGGACCGAGGGAGGAGAACGGCCCCGGGAGGTCGGTACCACACAGAGTGGCCATTGCAGTGCTGCTGGTAGCTGGGCTGTAGATCTTTAGGCCATCAAACATACAGGTGGAATGTGCTAGACAAGGTACAAAACAAAGTCTGGGTACGGCCAGGCAGGTGAACAGCTGTTTGCTAGTTCTTCTACACATACCCTCAATCTGGAAGACCTGAAAGCTGAGGACAACCACCGTCTGCTCCCCGGCATCTACAGTGTAGTTGCAGTTAGCGTGGTCAGGGTAGTGAGCTGGGAAGTTAGGAGAGACTACACGGCCCTGGGAGCCACTGAACCGGGCGCCACAGCCTCAGGGAAAGAACACAGCGACTTTAAGACTTTATGAAATCATTGTATCACAGTGAATGCAGACAACTTTAAACAGTTTAAGCAAAAAACATCAGAACTTAAACATCGGGTCATCAGTATAGAAATAATAATAAATCCAATAGCTTTTTAGGAAAGGCTTCCTATCTCAGCTGTACTATAAATATGATCTAAATGAGCTCCAGCTTCATGGCTTAGAACCTCTTCTTCATTCACTGCCAGTAGAAACCACAAACGGATCATTTTAACGAGCAAAACCAACTGGTTTACAATCTCTATAGATCAGAAGAGGCACATCGACTAAAGGGACTGCAGGTGCAGTTCAATGCCTCTGATTAGGAATGTTTGGAGATCAGGTCCTTAGAATCCAACCAGAATCTTACGGGTGCTGAAGGTCATAGAGAAACCAGTGCCGGGGGTGCCAGTGGCTTGGAACCGGCTGGAGATGATGTTATATGGAGCAACAACGGGTTGCGGTGCTGATGATCCACAGCCTGTCACCAGCAGGTCCTCAGCGTTCTGGGTGTTGCCTGACCAGACCTGCAGAGGAGAACAGGTTCAGACCTTTAGGTCCTCCACTTCAGAATTTACAGTCCAAAACACCAGAGACCAGGTCCAGCTCTCAGCAAAACGATTGATAAAACTAAGCTTAGATGGATGCTAATGTGGATCCTTTGGTCTGGGACCAGATTCCAAGATTCTGGAGCAAAATACCTTTCAACTCGTACAATTGGAATGATAGATAGATAGAGATTAATTATCAGATAGATAGATAGATAGATAGATAGATAGATAGATAGATAGATAGATAGATAGATAGATAGATAGATAGATAGATAGATAGATAGATAGATAGATAGATAGATAGATAGATAGATAGATAGATAGATAGATAGATAGATAGATAGATAGATAGATAGATAGATAGATAGGTCTGTAAAACTGACCACCAGGAGGTTCAATCGGTTATATTTCTACCACTTTTTGAAATTCTTAAACACAGAATAAATGAATAAATGAATACATTCTGTTTCCTGTTAAAGAAAGACAATGAAATTGAAAGTTGTTTAATCGTCTGCTGGAAGATAACTGGACGGAGCTTTCATGTTCCCATCAGACCACCTGCTGAGCCCAGCTAATCGGTCTAGTCAAAGTATCCTCCATCCTTCCATTTCATTCGGTAAGTATTGTTAGTTTTGTTAATGATAAATCTTCCTTGTGTTGCCATGGTTACCTGTGGACTACCACAGGGATCAGTGCTAGGACCAATTCTCTTTACTTTATACATGCTCCCAATCGGTAGAGTTATTAGACAGCATGGGATTAATTTCCACTGTTATGCTGATGATACCCTGCTATATCTGTCTATAATCCAGATGAAGCTAACCCATTACATAGATTACAGGCATGTCTGAAGACATAAAAACCTGGATGACTCTTAACTTTCTGCTTCTGAATGCAGACAAAACAGAAGTTATAGTCTTTGGACCAGAGTCTCTGAAAAAGAAGCTGATTAGTCAGTCACTTCATTTGGATGGGATTAAACTGATTTCAGATAATAAAGTAAAAAATCTTGGTGTTATTTTTGATCAGGACCTGTCATTTAAATCCCAGATCAAAGATGTTTCTAGAATTTCCTTCTTTCATCTGAGGAATATTGCTAAAATGAGCAATCTCCTGTCCAGGGGAGATGCTGAGAAACTAGTCCATGCATTTGTTACTTCAAGGCTGGACTATTGTAATATTTCAGGCTGAGGATGGATAGTCCTGTTGGTACCTTGATGTAGCTGCTCTGGCAGCTGTTGGAACTGTCTGGAATGTCAAAGTTGTCACTGAAGCTCATCTCCAGATGGTTTCCCTCATGAGCCACCACCTGCCAGGAACACTCCACGTTTGCTGGAAACACCTCTGGATAATTTGGAGATGTAATGGTTCCTGTGTCAGCGTGGATCACCCCCCCACAGCCTGGTGGAAGACAGAAACAGGTTACTATGACAACTGCTGCTAAGATGATCAGATAGGGTGACATAGCATTCAATAATAAAAACTAAAAGTCAAATTACTGTCAGAGTGATAAACATTGGAGCTGATTTAAACAGTTAGTTGGTATATGAAGAAAGAGCAGCAGGGAAGAGCTTTAGAGTAGCATCATGAACCAACCAATACAAACGTTTCCATGACAACACCATCCATCCATCCATCCATCATCCATCCATCCATCCATCATCCATCCATCCATCATCCATCATCCATCCATCCATCCATCCATCCATCGATCCATCCATCCATCCATCCATCCATCCATCATCCATCCATCCATCCATCCATCCATCATCCATCCATCCATCCATCAATCCATCCATCCATCCATCCATCCATCCATCCATCCATCCATCCATCATCCATCCATCCATCCATCCATCCATCATCCATCCATCCATCCATCCATCAATCCATCCATCCATCCATCCATCCATCCATCCATCCATCCAAATCTTACCAGAGGAGTCTGCAGACCACGAGGCAATGAATCCCCCTCTTGACGCACTGTGATCAGCCAGGAACACTACAGCCAGTTTGTTGGATCCTGATTGGATGGTTCCAGGAGAGGTGTCTCCACAGTATTGGCCAATGATTGGAGAACCAGGGGATCCTCCATTAAAGATCGTTACAGAGTCCCATCTACAGGTTTGGTGGTCTTCAACGTTAAAGTAGCTGAAAGTCAACTACAGCAGAAAGAGGCAGTGAGCAGGAAGGGAAGCCATGAGGTACTGTGGTTCTTCTCATGTTGATCCTGAACAGCATGATGGTCTGAGTAGACCCTAACCATTAGAACATAGTGGAGTGTTTGAGTGGCTCCTATGCCTCAGACTACCTCTGATCTAATAAACCTCCTAAATGGCATCAGCAGCTCTGGCTTTGCCAACAGGTTTAAGGATCTTAATGTTTGAATTCAGAGAGCTGCTGACTATCCTGGAATTCATCAAACAGAAATAGGTTTGGAATTGAAAAATCTTCCTGGATGGGAAACGAAACATCTTCAAACCTGGAAAAAGTCCAGTGGATTGTTTAACTTTTTTGGAAAGAAATAGGTTTGGTAACGCTAACTAGAATAAAACTGGACCAGAGTAGGAGACTGAAAATGAGGCAACCACTGGCCACCACTGGTAACCACTGGCAACCACTGGTAACCACTGTCAACCACTGGTAACCACTGGCAACCACTGGTAACCACTGCCAACGACTGACAACCACTGATAACCACTGTCAATCACTGGTAACCACTGGCAACCGCTGGCAACCACTGGTAACCAATGTCAACATCTGGTAACCACTGGTAATCACTGTCAACCACTGGTAACTGCTGGCAGCCACTAGTAACCACTGGTAACCGCTGGTAACCACTGTCAACCACTGGTAACCGCTGGCAACCACTGGTAACTGCTGGCAACCACTGGTAACCGCTGGTAACCACTGTCAACCACTGGTAACCTCTGTCAACCACTGGTAACCAATGGCAGCCACTGGTAACCACTGTCAACGACTGGTAACCTCTGTCAACCACTGGTAACCACTGGTAGCCACTCGTAACCACTGTCAACCACTGGTAACCTCTGTCAACCACTGGTAACCACTGGCAGCCACTGGTAACCACTGTCAACGACTGGTAACCGCTGGCAACCACTGGTAACCAATGTCAACCACTGGTAACCACTGTCCACCACTGGTAACCGCTGGCAACCACTGGTAACCAATGTCAACCACTGGTAACCACTGTTAACCACTGGTAACCACTGGCAACCACTGGTAACCACTGTCAAACACTGGTAACCACTGTCAACCACTGGTAACTGCTGGCAACCACTGGTAACAACTGGCAACCACTGGTAACCACTGTCCACCACTGGTAACCACTGTCCACCACTGGTAACCGCTGGCAACCACTGGTAACCAATGTCAACCACTGGTAACCACTGTCCACCACTGGTAACCACTGTCCACCACTGGTAACCGCTGGCAACCACTGGTAACCACTGTCCACCACTGTCCACCACTGGTAACCGCTGGCAACCACTGGTAACCACTGTCAACCACTGGTAACTGCTGGCAACCACTGGTAACAACTGGCAACCACTGGTAACCAATGTCAACCACTGGTAACCACTGTCCACCACTGGTAACCGCTGGCAACCACTGGTAACCAATGTCAACCACTGGTAACCACTGTTAACCACTGGTAACCGCTGGCAACCACTGGTAACCACTGTCAAACACTGGTAGCCACTGGCAACCACTGGTAACTGCTGGCAACCACTGGTAACCGCTGGCAACCACTGGTAACCAATGTCAACCACTGGTAACCACTGTTAACCACTGGTAACCGCTGGCAACCACTGGTAACCACTGTCAAACACTGGTAACCACTGTCAACCACTGGTAACTGCTGGCAACCACTGGTAACAACTGGCAACCACTGGTAACCACTGTCCACCACTGGTAACCGCTGGCAACCACTGGTAACCAATGTCAACCACTGGTAACCACTGTCCACCACTGGTAACCGCTGGCAACCACTGGTAACCAATGTCAACCACTGGTAACCACTGTTAACCACTGGTAACCGCTGGCAACCACTGGTAACCACTGTCAAACACTGGTAGCCACTGGCAACCACTGGTAACTGCTGGCAACCACTGGTAACCACTGTCAACCACTGGTAACTGCTGGCAACCACTGGTAACCACTGGCAACCACTGTCAACCACTGGCAAGCACTCGTAGCCACTGGCAAGTGCTGGTAACCACTGGCAACCACTGGTAACCGCTGGCAACCACTGGTAACCACTGTCAACCACTGGTAACTGCTGGCAACCACTGGTAACCACTGGCAACCACTGTCAACCACTGGCAAGCACTGGTAGCCACTGGCAACCACTGGTAACCGCTGGTAACCACTGGTAACCGCTGGCAGCCACTGGTAACCTCTGTCAACCACTGGTAACCACTGGCAGCCACTGGTAACCAATGTCAACCACTGGTAACCACTGTCCACCACTGGTAACCACTGTCCACCACTGGTAACCGCTGTCAACCACTGGTAGCCTCTGTCAACCACTGGTAACCACTGGTAACCACTCGTAACCACTGTCAACCACTGGTAACCTCTGTCAACCACTGGTAACCACTGGCAGCCACTGGTAACCACTGTCAACGACTGGTAACCGCTGGCAACCACTGGTAACCAATGTCAACCACTGGTAACCACTGTCCACCACTGGTAACCGCTGGCAACCACTGGTAACCAATGTCAACCACTGGTAAACACTGTTAACCACTGGTAACCGCTGGCAACCACTGGTAACCACTGTCAAACACTGGTAACCACTGTCAACCACTGGTAACTGCTGGCAACCACTGGTAACAACTGGCAACCACTGGTAACCACTGTCCACCACTGGTAACCCATGTCCACCACTGGTAACCGCTGGCAACCACTGGTAACCAATGTCAACCACTGGTAACCACTGTCCACCACTGGTAACCACTGTCCACCACTGGTAACCGCTGGCAACCACTGGTAACCACTGTCCACCACTGGTAACCACTGTCCACCACTGGTAACTGCTGGCAACCACTGGTAACCACTGTCAACCACTGGTAACTGCTGGCAACCACTGGTAACAACTGGCAACCACTGGTAACCAATGTCAACCACTGGTAACCACTGTCCACCACTGGTAACCGCTGGCAACCACTGGTAACCAATGTCAACCACTGGTAACCACTGTTAACCACTGGTAACCGCTGGCAACCACTGGTAACCACTGTCAAACACTGGTAGCCACTGGCAACCACTGGTAACTGCTGGCAACCACTGGTAACCGCTGGCAACCACTGGTAACCAATGTCAACCACTGGTAACCACTGTTAACCACTTGTAACCGCTGGCAACCACTGGTAACCACTGTCAAACACTGGTAACCACTGTCAACCACTGATAACTGCTGGCAACCACTGGTAACAACTGGCAACCACTGGTAACCACTGTCCACCACTGGTAACCGCTGGCAACCACTGGTAACCAATGTCAACCACTGGTAACCACTGTCCACCACTGGTAACCGCTGGCAACCACTGGTAACCAATGTCAACCACTGGTAACCACTGTTAACCACTGGTAACCGCTGGCAACCACTGGTAACCACTGTCAAACACTGGTAGCCACTGGCAACCACTGGTAACTGCTGGCAACCACTGGTAACCACTGTCAACCACTGGTAACTGCTGGCAACCACTGGTAACCACTGGCAACCACTGTCAACCACTGGCAAGCACTCGTAGCCACTGGCAAGTGCTGGTAACCACTGGCAACCACTGGTAACCGCTGGCAACCACTGGTAACCACTGTCAACCACTGGTAACTGCTGGCAACCACTGGTAACCACTGGCAACCACTGTCAACCACTGGCAAGCACTGGTAGCCACTGGCAACCACTGGTAACCGCTGGTAACCACTGGTAACCGCTGGCAGCCACTGGTAACCTCTGTCAACCACTGGTAACCACTGGCAGCCACTGGTAACCACTGGCAAGCACTGGTAGCCACTGGCAACCACTGGTAACCGCTGGTAACCACTGGTAACCGCTGGCAGCCACTGGTAACCTCTGTCAACCACTGGTAACCACTGGCAGCCACTGGTAACCAATGTCAACCACTGGTAACCACTGTCCACCACTGGTAACCGCTGGCAACCACTGGTAACCAATGTCAACCACTGGTAACCACTGTTAACCACTGGTAACCGCTGGCAACCACTGGTAACCACTGTCAAACACTGGTAGCCACTGGCAACCACTGGTAACTGCTGGCAACCACTGGTAACCGCTGGCAACCACTGGTAACCAATGTCAACCACTGGTAACCACTGTTAACCACTGGTAACCGCTGGCAACCACTGGTAACCACTGTCAAACACTGGTAACCACTGTCAACCACTGGTAACTGCTGGCAACCACTGGTAACAACTGGCAACCACTGGTAACCACTGTCCACCACTGGTAACCGCTGGCAACCACTGGTAACCAATGTCAACCACTGGTAACCACTGTCCACCACTGGTAACCGCTGGCAACCACTGGTAACCAATGTCAACCACTGGTAACCACTGTTAACCACTGGTAACCGCTGGCAACCACTGGTAACCACTGTCAAACACTGGTAGCCACTGGCAACCACTGGTAACTGCTGGCAACCACTGGTAACCACTGTCAACCACTGGTAACTGCTGGCAACCACTGGTAACCACTGGCAACCACTGTCAACCACTGGCAAGCACTCGTAGCCACTGGCAAGTGCTGGTAACCACTGGCAACCACTGGTAACCGCTGGCAACCACTGGTAACCACTGTCAACCACTGGTAACTGCTGGCAACCACTGGTAAACACTGTTAACCACTGGTAACCGCTGGCAACCACTGGTAACCACTGTCAAACACTGGTAACCACTGTCAACCACTGGTAACTGCTGGCAACCACTGGTAACAACTGGCAACCACTGGTAACCACTGTCCACCACTGGTAACCCATGTCCACCACTGGTAACCGCTGGCAACCACTGGTAACCAATGTCAACCACTGGTAACCACTGTCCACCACTGGTAACCACTGTCCACCACTGGTAACCGCTGGCAACCACTGGTAACCACTGTCCACCACTGGTAACCACT